TGTAAACTTCAGACGCTATTGTACATTGAGTCCCCTACCAAACCAAATTAACTAATTAATAGATGCAGGAGACGGGACCTACGGTTTATTCGTCCTTATCCGAGAAGACTAGAATGTCTATCCATTTCTTGATATTATAGGAAGGTAGCGCATTCTCCTTAGTTATTTGAAGACCTTGAGTGTTGGTTCGGCCGGGGCTCGAACCATCGACCACGACCTCCCGCCTAACAGTCCAGCGCTCTAACCAATTGAGCTAACCGGGAGGCGGTTAGCTCAATTTTCAATATTTTAGTCTTCTCGGATAAGGACGAATAAACAGTAGGCCCCGTCTCCTGCAGGGCTAGGGGTAGGAGACGTTAAATTCCCACGCACGAGAATACTGTGTGGTGGATGTCCTTCCCTGGGTGGGATGGGTGAGTGTTGGCCCTGAAAAGCCCCTATGGGGAGTGGTCAATTAACCTGTGTATGCATGTCTAAATGTATGTATGTATGTACGTGTCAGGCAACGTTTCACGCACTGAAAGAATCGCTTTAATTTCGTCGAAATTTTGGTACAGACCGCGGTAAACCTCTTTGATTTATTTATTTATCATGTCGTATGCGGAAATTTTGATATTTGTTCAGGTGGTGGATGTCCTTCCCTGGGTGGTATGGGTGGGTGTTGGCCCTGAAAAGCCCCTATGGGGAGTGGAAAATTAACCTATGTATGTATGTATGTATGTATGTATGTATGCATGTATGCATGTATGTATGTATGAATGTACGTGTCATGCAACGTTTCGCGCACTGAAAGAATCGCTTTAATCGTCGTCGAAATTTTGGTACAGACCGCGGTAAACCTCTTTGATTTGTTTATTTATCATGCCGTTTGCAGAAATTTTGATATTTCTTCAGAGTGGAGATAGGTACAGCCCCAAAAAACATCGCTGTGTAAACAAATGCTGCCGCCCCAGTCATTGTTTGAATGGAGGGTTATGTCAGGAGATTTGTAACCCTAAAAACACCAGGTTTAACTGCACCTGTACTGGTACGTATCCTGGTCAGCGGTGTGCGAAGTTAACAAGAAGTTGTAAAGACATAGCTATAAGTGGCGCCTCAAGATCAGGAAATTACGATATCTACAATTCAACCGATGAGCCGTTTTCTGTTTACTGTGACTTGCAGTCAGAGCCTGGCTTTGTGTGGACATTGATACAGTCGTTTTCTTTGAGCAAGAGGGACATATTTGCAGGAAAACCGTTTGGCACTACCTTTGCATTGAATCAAAATAACATTGAATTAGATTTGAACGAGTACCGACTATCCTTATTACAGATGCAGTCTCTTGCCGATCATTCTACACATCTGTGAGCAACTTGTAACTTTTCTACAGATGGTCTGCAGTATACGGACTACGCACGCGCTAAGCTAGAAGGTCATAACATTTTTGGCAAATGGACCAAATGTCAGCTGTATGAATACCTTAACATTCGAGGAAACGAATGTTCCAATTGCTTCGCCCTGACAAGACAGAAATCAGACAAATCTTGTTACATAAGGAGTTACAATAGCAAAGAGGAAGGATGTGAATTTGATGGAAAACCAGGTGGAATCAACTACGAAAACAATTTCGGAGACTACGGTGACAGAAATATCAATCAAAATCACAGCTGCACGTCTTCTTCCACTTCTAGAACGCAGCACTGGTTTGGAACTCGATATGACGTGTAATTCCTCTGGACTCAGTTGTGAAGGAAAAAAAAAACAAAAAAACAAAAGAAACAAAAAAAAAGGAAAGAAGGAAAGAGAGAAAATGCGGAAACCCACACAAGAGACCACGGGAGCAAGGCTAAGAAGCAATAATTACGTCATTTAACTTCAGCTCAGGTCAGGTCTAACTATGGAGATGAATTTGTGCTGAAATTTTTATCTTTGAGCTTGTTATAGAGTGAACCGACTCTTCAATATTACGTAGTGTAGATATGTACGAGAGGACAAAGCGCTTTTTACCCTTATATGCTTTGTTCATATTGTAAACTTAAAAAAGAAAGGCAACAGCGTTTGCAGCAAGAACAATGCAGGCCTTGATTGGAAACGTCGTCGACAGAAGACAGTTTTCCCTTTCAACATTCTTTGTTAGGTGAAACTGTCATTCCTAAACCTTTCGTGGGTAGATAATATAAGTTTCGTATATATATATATATATATTTTTTCGGTTTAGATCGCGTTGGATCCACCTTTTAATTTACCCCTTTTTATCCTAAAATAAGGTATAGAAAATATTACATGGGTGCACGTAGTTATGGAATTTCTCTTCTTTTGTTCAACATGATGTCTCATGAGTGAGTGCTCGAGCGAGTAAGACGAGACGAGCTGTGATTTTGATTGATATTTCCGTCACCATAGTCTCCGAAATTGTTTTCGTAGTCGATTCCACCTGGTTTTCCATCCATCCTCGGCTTTGCTAGTGTAGCTCCTTACGTGCCAAGATTTGTCTGATTTCTATCTTGTCAGGGCGGAACAATTGGAACATTCGAGACGAGACATCGAGTTGAATACGGGAAGAGAAATTTCATATCTACGAGCACCAATGTATCATTTTGTTTATTTTATAAACACAATAGATTTTTATAAGATAATGTAAACTGTATATTCTGTTGGCCTTAACTGACAAGAAAGTTACCTCTCTTCTTTCTCAAGTACGCACAAGTATAGGATGGGACAATGAAGAGCTGGTTATGTGAAGGCACACTAAATTCATTAATGTCTGAAACTTTTAGAAAAAATATGAAAATAATCTATTTTCATTGAATTTTACTTGTTCTAATAAGGTTAGTTACATGCAATAGAGTGTGTTTATGGACGAGGTTGAGCATGTAAACTTCAGACGCTATTGTACATTGATTGAATACCTTCGACCAATCAGATTTTTCATTGTTAGAGTAATGTATAATAATCCCAGGAAATTTGTGTACGCTCTGAGTAATGTTATTCGCATATTTATCATTTTTTTATGCGCAGACCGGGTCGCTGATAAATGTACAGTTAATGGCATACTTTCATCTCTTTTGACCTCTTTGTCATACAATATTGCGGTACCTTTTCGTCAACTTAGCATGACTTCGATATTATGCGTAAAATTTGAAGAAAAGGTCAGCTTTTTTAAAATCTCATCTCTCATCAATGACAAGTACAGTCTTATGAACAATTAACATCTAATCCTGGTGTAATTAGGCAAAGGCGACGAAAGAAGTAAAATGTTTAAGTCAACTGACGAAAAAGTGTCGGTCCATTTCCTGTTTAGCGACCATGCTGTTTTTATGCAACAAATTCAATAAATTTAAAGGTTTGAACCAGACTGACCTGGCCGTTGGTGATTCTAATTTATCGCCTTTTCCGTGCCTTTTAAGGTTTAACATTATATGAAATGCAGAGAGATATGCAAATTCTTTGATAACCTCTGCAGGGAGGAACTGCCGCAGGCCTTAATTGCAGCAGTCGTCTTTTGGGAAGCTTTCAGCATCTTGTGGAACTGAATAAAGCCTGTTTTGCAGTTGATAATCAATTCACACTATCCCTGATTTGTTTTTCTTTGAAAACGTTAATCCTTGTTAGTTCCTGAAATGCGTTTTAGCGCGAGGAGCGAGGAGTCTCGAATGGATGAGTGTGAGCTAAATGGGGAAAAAAACTCAATGCGGTGCGCTACTTATATAAATACTCGAGCAAAATTGTCGGGTGCCATATAGGACAACATTGTGTGCCCAAAAAATAAAATGCAAAAGTTACGTATATATGGCATGGATCAAATAATTATATGAATAGAATATATGTGCAACATATATATGGCATGGACCAAGTCAATATATGGTACTGAATAAATAAATATATGACATGGGACAAAAGTAAGAAAAATATATACGGCTATTGTGCCCGTTATCGCTTTGGCCAGCGGCGTTATTTTGGAAAGCGGGAAACTTGGCATCTGATCGAGGAATCCAATAATTATGGCGAACTCTACTCCCACTGTTGACCTTACTTGTTCGACAGATTATTGATCATCCTCAATTCAAAGAAGCCTTGCAAGCTAGGTCTTCCGATAGTTCAAGTTCAGACCCTGAAACTTCAAGAAAATCCCCTTTCAGAAGCATAGTCTCGAAGCATGCAACAAATATTTAGAAACTGACTTCTTAACCGATGATTTCTTCGTAGAGATAAAGTGGCTCAAGTAAACTTTCGCCAGTGCTTTGCACTTCGCACTCAGATATGAAACACCTAACAACGTATACATGATCATCTAATCAGCGTTCAAAATACTCCAAGACATTGCTGTTTTCAGAGTGAAGATTTCTACGAGCTTGACGAAAAAGGGATGGAATAGAGCTCTCAAAAAATTGCTCTAAATCATCAATCCTGTCACGGGCCGCCATGTTATTTTTTATCAATCTTCCGCTGACCAAATTGACAATGGGCACAATAAGCATATATATTTTTCGCGTATTTGCCCCATATTTATATCGTATTTGATCCATGCCATATATATTCCATTCATATCATATCTATTTGATCCATGACATATATATTTAACTTTTGCACTTTATCTTTGCGCCAACAATATTGTCCAATACGGCACGCCATACAAAATACGCTCTCGGCTTCTTGATTCTTTTCTTATCAAGGTTGAAAGGTATCTTGCTTCACCACCCTACTCAATTCAAGCAGAACATTGACCAATCGAAATCTGTTCTACAAATTACGTTTAAATCCAAACCAGTGCTGCGTTGGGGAAGCAGAGGAAGATGTACAACGGTGGTTTGGATTGAATTTGTGATAATTCCCAAAATTTCTCTCACCCTGAACTGCGCCTTTCTCACCATCAAAGTCACAACCCATCTCCTTACTGATTCCACTGTTAACGCTCTACGCGACCCTTGGGTTTTTCTGTTGTTTGGTATGCGCGGTACAATCACAACAGTTTATCCCCCGGATGTTGATATATTCGTACTTTATGCATAATCCATTATCACCCCAGCCAGAAAATATCTTATGACTCGTCAGCTTGGTGCGTGTGTTGTCCGTATAAAGCAGACCATCTTTTGGAAAGTTGCAAGTTACTCTCAAATGTGTGGAACGATCGGCAAGAGCCTTCGTCCTTGGCTTGGACAGGCGATATAAGTTCCAATTCCGTTTCTCTATATCCTGATTAATCGGATGATCGTAGAGAAATGCTTTTCCAATAAATACGTCGTTCTCACCGAAGGAAAATGATTGTATCAATGTCCATACAAAACTAGGTTCTGACTGGAGGTCACAGTAAACAGAAAACGGTTTATTGGCTGAGCCAAAGATTCCATAAATTCCTGATTCTGAAGCGCCATTTTCAGCGATGTCTTTGCAGCTTCTCGGATATGCAATCTTCTCGCATCGTAGACCAGTGTATGAGTCAGGACAGGTGCAGTTAAACCTGGTGCTGTGCGTATCACAAATCTCCTGACATACCCCTTCGTTGAGACAAGGATTGGTTCGACAACATCTGTTGACACAGTGAACACATGCCAGGTGAAAATTGTTCAGTGTTTGGCTGTGGAACGTGTAGGAGAAGTAAAGGAATTGGAATCTGGAAGCTACCGTCGCCGCGAAACGCGGAATACAAGAAGTGGCGAGAAGACTGGCTGAAAATAAATAAGTTACTCTATGTTAGATACTTTAACCATATAGCCTTTATACTCATTTTTGTCCATAAAATAATCATTAAAGAGCAATATTTAATATGTTTATTTAATATGTTGCAGGTTGTAGCTACCAAATTAATCTTTTGTAATAAATTACTTATTGACAAATTGTTGCAGGCTCTTAATTCTAACTATATCTGCCTTTCTTGTTCTTTGCTGGCTCTACAAATTTCCTTTCGTAGTG